TATATATATATATATATATATATATATATATAATTTTTTTTTTTTTTGCTCACAATAAAGGTCTCTCTTCCTCTTAGAGATTTGGCAGCAGGAGCAGGTTTTGTTTCAAACTACTTTCCAGGACACTTGAGGCTTTGCCTTCAGAAGAAACACAGGACTTGCTGTAGAGGAAAGTGTCTAGAAAGAAATGTAAAACCAATCTTCTTCATCCTACTTAATATGAAGCTGCAGTCCACTATAGATGGTAAGAAACTTTAAAAGTCCCTTTTGTACTGATAGCATTAAAGAAGCTATTCTGCAAATTTTGGTGCAACAGAGAGATAAGCAGCAGAAATGAGTTTAAATTACAATTCACTTCTGCTGCAGCAGCTTCAACTACAGCTGACCTTGTACTTTGAAACAAAGTTGGAAGCTATCTCCTTAAAAAAAAAACCACACAAAGCAGTCTGCTTCTTTGACAAAAGTGGAAGTGAGTTTAGTAATTGCAATCAAGTGACTGGTCCAGAATAGACAACCAAACCATTTGGTGTAATGGCTGTCTCTGACCAGAAACAAAGTCAAGTGATTTAGCTGTGTGGAAAACAGCTATCCTAGCTCTTTTTAGGAAAGTGATACACCAAAACAGTAGTGAATTTAAAAGTAGCTTTTGAGTAATACCAGACCAGAAATTATCCAAGGCAACTATATACAGATCGAATGCCCTGCAGCAATTTAATTGGCAGGCTATATGTTCAAAAATGTAACATGTGGGCTGTTACTCACCCATCCTAATTATTCTGAGACCAAGCAATTATTTTTTAATCAAAGTTAGCCTGGGTTATTCACTAAGCATTTTCAGGTCTCACACTGTAGTGGAAAATATCACATCCAATGCAGAGCCAACAGCCACCTCTGTTCTTTGGCTAAAGAAAAATAGTCGCATTGTGCCTCAGTACTGAATATTGGTCTAGCTACATACCAATAGCTGGGAGAACTGTTTAGCTTTCAACTTGTTTGCGCTTATAAGATGTCTTAGCAGGATTCAATGCTACCTAGATTTGAGCTAGTGTCCAACAGTGCTAGCAAACAATCCTGTAAATGTGGTCAAATTTCAGTATCTATGAAAGCACTTTACCTTGAAGATCATTATTCTTTCACTGTAGATGATACTTTTTCCAACTTGCTAGCTTCACATATCCTGTGTACTATAAATTCCTGTATAAGTGACACTGTCACAGCATTAAAATCCCTTGCAGCTGATTTTCTCCATCCTGCAAGTTTTAGACCTCTCAGAATGTAACCAGTTTAAATATTAAAGAAACCCAGCTTCGCTGGGAATCATTAGAAACTAAACAGATGGAGTGACCCAGGTATTTAGCTGCTTAAAGCCTTTGTATACAAATGATTGTATACTTATGCTTTAAATAAATATCTAGTGACTTCAAAGTATCATTGAATTAACTTCTATACAATAAATAAAAATATTGCATTTCTATCGGCCTGGTTTTGGGAGTTGATTTGGAATGTTATTTTGAAAGTTATAAGTCCACCATTAAACAGTTAAGGCTTCAAGCTCTTTAGATTTCAGCATTTTCTTTGCCGCAATAATTGTATTCTTCATCAGCATAGCAACTGTCATGGGCCCAACTCCCCCAGGGACTGGAGTGATGTAACTGGCTTTCTTCTTTACTCCTGCAGGAAGGAAAGTTAGAATTAAGAATGGTGCATCACACTTTAGAAACAGGCTTTCAAAACCTGTGTCCTATTGAGAAGCTGCACTAACAAGCAGAAATATTGACAAGTCATAACAGGCTACATTGAAATGAAAAATGCAGAAGTCTGTTAACAACTAATGTGTAATCTAGTTCTTAGTGAATTAGGCTTGAATGTCAGCAGAGTAATTCAAAACCAGCAAAGACCATCTGTAAAAGTCCCACGCACAGTTTTGTGTAGATCTAAGAGGAGTTTAAACAGTCTGAACATGTGCTGTCTCTTGCCTTTTCTGGGACAGGGCACTGGCAGCAGTAAGCCTTAATACTTAAACCTAACATTACATACAACTCTTCAAAAGACAGTTTGATTCCATGATCAACGCATGTAATAAGGTGTCTAAACTCAAAGGCACAGCAAGTCATCAGAAGGTGGCAATCCTGCATACTATCAGGTGAAGTGTTGAGAAAGGTTTCTCTGTGCAGCTGTGAAAATGGAGTTAGATCAAGTGACTGAAAACTGCAGATGTTTATGGCATGTCAATTGCCCTGTGGTCCATGGTATAACAGGAAGCACTGTTCCCAAAGTATTTCTCAAGTATGGTATGAGATCAAATTCACGATCTGCCCTACAATGTAGGAAAGAACTTCTCAATGTCAGTCTAAATCAGTTCAGTCATATAAGTGGGGTTTCTCTGCTCTTCTAAATACTCATTAGTAAATACTAAATACTCAAGAGGGATCGCTCAGAGGTTTGAGCATTGGCCTGCTAAAGCCAGGGTTGTGAGTTCAGTCCTTGAGGAGGCCACTTAGTGATCTGGGGCAAAATCAGTACTTGGTCCTGCTAGTGAAGGCAGGGAGCTGGACTCTATGACCTTTCGAGGTCCCTTCCAGTTCTAGGAGATGGATATCTCCATACATTATTTATTTTTTATAAAGCAGTAGATACAAAAAACAGCCTCTGTACCTTCAAAATCCACATCTCCAACTAGTTTTGACTTCGCAGTAACAGGATCTTGCACTCTGTTTATCCCAACATCAATAACTGCTGCTCCTTCTTTAATCATATCAGCTGTGATCAGATTAGGAATACCTGAAATTTAAAAACCACCAACCAATTACACCATGTTTAGTTGCTACCAAATAAAATTCACAACCGTAAAACTAGTCAATAAGCCCACTGTAAAGAGACAGAAAAGCAGATTCTCAAAGCTAAAATGTAAGTATGTCCATCCACACCATCATGCATTACCACCAAAAGCATTTTACAAGATAGCTTGTTATTCTACTCCATTTTATGGATTATGATCAACAGCTGGATTTGTTTTAAAGTCCCTTATTATGTCCAAATTTACAGAATTGTGGGTAAGTAATTTTCAAGAGAAAAAATGTAAATAGTAGGAAAAAGTTAAATTTACTCCAAAAGAGCTATCAAGTAGCTTAGAACCAAAATATTTTATTTTTTAAAAATTAAGCATTTCCAAGAACTCAATTTCAATTAAGTTTATGTAACCAGTTCTTCTGTAGTGGTACATATTTGCCTTGTATTAGTACAGGAGTGTGCCAAAGTCATCAAGTGAATGTAATAACAATATATCAAGGGGAAGAAGTGAAATTATTGGGAAAATCCTCAGTTTTAGTGACAGAAGGCAGTCCTGCAAGAGCATGTAGAGTCCATAGCTATCAGTGCCAGAAATGTGGGCAAATAGCAACTGATGGGGTGGGGCCATGCTTATCAGGTTCTACCAGACATTTAGGATGGCCAGTTACAAATTTATGCAACTCAAAAGTCACAAGTATCCGTAAGAAGAAATAGTTCATTCTTTAGTGACTGCAATGTGGTTTCAGTAACATTGCCATTGAATGACCTCTACACTGCATTTGTTTTTCCTGATGTCACATTACAGATCTACATTAAAAATGCGTGCGTCTTAAAATTGACTGTTTCACTCCTTGTGTGCTTCCACCTTCAGCAAAGTCACTATTTTTCAGTCCCTTCACTATTCTGTTCTGTGATTTTTAGCTCACTCAACCCTTTCTTCCTCCTCCTCCAGTGTCCTCATGGCTCCCATGCACTCATGCCAAAGTTTTGCTGATGGCCCCATACTTCGAGTGGGCTGCCACCACATGTATGGTTCCATGGCTAAGCAGAGACCCATTGAAGCTCCTCTGCACATGTTCTGTTCATGACTGCACTAGACAAAGGAGACAAGATGAGCAGGGACACGGGTCCGACAATCTGAGCTATTCCTGGATCGAACCAAATGGCATAAGCTACTGCATGATCCATTGCAGCTCAGCCTCTCACGGGCTATAGTAAAATAGGTCCCTAGCCATATGGATTTTCAAATACAATTTCACAATGTGACTGTGCTGCCCTTTTACTCAGATACAGCTGGGAACAGGCAAGTCATTTATCAGAGAATGATTCTTCCAGGTTCATTTAAAAATTAACAAGCTGGGTTGGCTCCAACAGCTCTGTTATATAGGAGATCAGAAAGGGCTCCCCAAACTGCTGCAACTCAAGCCAGCAGTCATCTGGAGTCCCTCACTCAAACAAAGTGGGCTGTAGTCCACGAAAGCTTATGCTCTAATATATTTGTTAGTCTCTAAGATGCCACAAGTACTCCTGTTCTTTTCACTCAAACAACTCCCTCTGGCTGCTCCTTGCAGCAGCATGGAGTGGCTGTGCAAGTGCCATCCAGCCTCACAGAGCACAGACTGCACATGTAACATGGGGACACTGCACCAAGACCTGAAGGCATCCTCAGTACACTGATTCCTATATAAAGCAGCAGCATTACAGCAAGTTTCTCCCTTGTGGGAATCTTGCCTTTAGTGCAAAGAGTTTAATGGTCTTACCTGCAGCTGCTACCACAATATCAGCCAAAATCGTGTGTTGCTTGAGCTGTTCCTTAGGAGTGTAGCGATGTGATATTGTTACTGTTGCATCACCTGCAAGATTAGTCATAATGAGCATTTACTCAGGTTTTGATATGAAAAATTCTAGCTTTTCACTCTGAAGGGTCCCCCCACTGATTTACAATCTGCAAAGATCATAAGTTCAGTGTGTGGATCACAACCATTGCTTTTCCCATATTGTTAAGTGGGCTGGGGACAAGGTCCTCTTACTGAACCACTGATAGAAAGGGGGGAAAATCACATCACATCAATAAACTTGAGTGCCATGTATTTACTCAAGGACAACGCAGTTAATGTGTTTACCCTTACAAGTGCCATGAGATCTTTAGCCACAAATTGGCATGGCCTGCAGTACATACCACCACCCTTACTAGAGTGATGAGCAGTGATCCAGTAATCAGAAAACTATTGATCAGTATTACGTTCTAGTTCTACAGCACTCGTTCTTTTCTGTGTCTCCCCTCTTAGTGACCCATTGTGACTAGCCTGCAAACTCTCACAAGAACAGAGCTGTTACCTCCAGGGCGCTCATGTCTGCCGTCGGTATGCAGCAACATTGCAATGGGCATTCCAACGTTCTTTGATCTGCCAGCCACTACTACATTCTTCCCCAGGGTTGGGATTCCTAAGGGATTGGAAAAGAAGTTAAAACTCAGTCAACTTTAAACTGCAATGGAGATGAAAAGCACTTAAAATGTTGCTCTTCTGACCCCTACCAGTTCTCTTGATGATTTCCCACACACCCCAAGGTGTAGCTGGCAGCATTGAATATTGGTCCAGACACATGCGCCCCACATTCACCACATGAAAGCCATCAACATCTTTTTCTGGGATCACAGCATTGCAGATCTTTCGCTCATCAATATGCTCTGAAAAAAAGTAAGTGTCAACATTAGGGGCCAACCAACTCCATTTAATGAGCTGAAGAAAATGTAATTAGCTGAGAATGATCACTTTAGCCTCTGACTTACACTGTACATTCTTCCACACATCCCCAGGTAGTAGAAAACCATGAGCCTATTCTAAAGCACTATGGCAAACTTGAGGCTACCCCATGTAACCCAACTACCAGATATTCTGTGTAAATATTTCTATTGCAATCTCAAGTGACTATATTACCCCAACAGATATATGAATTTGACAGGCTTTCCATAGTTCCTTGAATACAAGCAGGGAATTAACCATAGGGACTTCAAATTTACCCTGTGCATTCAATATTTGTTGCAATGAATGTGAAAATATCCCTTAAAATTTGAAGATGGTACTTTTAGACCACCTAGATTGCAGTTGTGTATACAATGCAGTCCCAATAAGCAGCCACTACTCCAGAAAGGTGAAAACATATCTAACCTACACCCATCTCAACTGTATGCACACATTCAACTGCTACTACAAAGGAAGTCAATAAACCAACTTTTCTTCATTGAACAGCATCATGGCAGAATGCCATTTCCTTCATATACTTCACACACAAGAGCCACGGAAGCAGCAATGTCACAGCAGGTTCAGGGCAGAGCCAGACTGTAATTTGATCCCGCACCATATACAAGACATTTGAAAGTTTTCTAGGTAAAGGTGCAAACACAGTGAGCTTGTGTGTGTGTGGGTGGGGGGGGTGGTTGGGGGGAGAGAGAAGAGAAAAAGTGTTGACTGGAGAACGCACTGCCCTCGATTTGGTAGGTCTTCGCTAGACCCACTAAATCAACACCCACTGCATGGATCTCCCAGTAGTGAAGACAAGCCCAGTAAGAGCTCCTCAAAATCCCACCAACTCACCAGGTAAGGGAAGCTGCACTAATAGGCCATCCACATTGGTGTCATCATTTAGCTTGCTAATCAAATCAAGCAGCTCCTCTTCAGTGATGGAGGCTGGCTTCAGGATTGTTTCACTGCTGATTCCTAGAGAGTCATTTTAAACACCACATTATTAGAGAGGGTCAAATGTAGATTAGTCTGGAAATGAACATTCTTAATTCATGCTAATTTTTACACTACAGAAATCATCTCTATTGACAAGTTTAAAAGTCTCAATCTTCCATTAACAAATATTATATACCATGGACTTAAATATCTTCTATTCAAATAGCAAGATGCAAACCACAATGCTCCTTCTTAGTCTATGACTCAGATGAAGATGAAGTATTGCATTCAGGGCTGTACCTCAATGTTAGATGAAAGCAGACAACCACACTGGAAGATGTGGTGGGTTCACTAGGGCCACTACACTAAGTGAAGTGGATAAAAGTCTACATGGACAGCAAGCTGAAAACTGTATCGTCATCCAGCATATGAGAAGCCCAACTTAAATTGGGGTCTTAAATTAGTTAATGATACTCATTGTTAAGTGTCCTATTAGGGCACAAAGACAGGAGTGCAAGAACCTACCTACATCAGCCGCTGCTTTGGTTTTGTTAAGTACATAGGAGTGACTTGCAGGATTTTCTCCAACTAGAACCACACTGAGATGGGGTCTCTTGTTACCAGCTGCTACCCATTGTTCAACCTCATGTCGGGCTTCCTGTCTGATCTGCTGAGCCAGCTTTCTTCCAGAAATTATGACTGCATCATTTCTGAAAAAAAATAAGAAAATGTTATCTAAGCAGGGAACCAGTTTTAAAAACATTCACTCCATATTGAGTTTTCTACCCAAGCTTCACCCCGTTTTAGTCAAGAAAAGAATCTAATGTAGGTCATTATAGCAGTTGCTGTTGTACTGAGTTAGACCTATGCACAAATATTATATTCCATACTTAACATTTGTATAAAACCCATTTCAAGTGGCCAATACAAGAATCAATTCTGCTTAGCTAGATATCCTGTTTACTAGCAGCAAAGTTGGAAGAGGATAGATTTTTCTGAGGCAAATCAAATGATGCATACCCAAGCCAATAAATTAAATTCCATTCCGCAATTTTGCTCTGAGAAGCAATGAAATTTGAAGACAATTCCTAGGCCAGTTTGTTTTCTATTTGCTGACAGTTCATGTAATATGAGAAAGTTCATGGATTGCTCTCTCCTGGAAAGCCATGCTCCAGTCATGCTTTTGTCCAGTGTACATTTTATATTCTAAGTTAGCAATCAAGCAAATAAAATTCATCTCTAAATAATCCTCTTCCCCTCCCTGAACACAAAGGACTTAATTTCACTTTAGCAGAGTTTTCACTATAACCAAAATTCTTTGAAACAAAATGTGGGACTTTCAATTTGCTTCACTATAAATGGAATTTCACTACAGGCAAGTTCTACTTAATCATTTTTAAATTCTTCAATTTAACACTTAGATCTTTTAAAGTGGATAATTTGCACAAGCTAAAATTGAAGTCCATATTAATTCCCTGTCAAAAACCACAGCACATTTAGAATAATGCAACTATGCAAGTTTATCTTGTTTGCCCTTTACTCAGATTTCATATTCCTTTACTAACCACTTTCCACTGAAGTTTATCATTTTACCAGAATAATGTCTTAGATACATATTATCTTAGAATTTGTTGCCAACAAATATTCTTAAGCTTGCATATTAAGATAATTAAAAACAAGTACTGTTGCAAAAACTAATATCAGTGTCATGAGTACAGCTTTAAAAACAGGCTACTGACATTTGATCAATATATGAAATTTTGCTGAAGCAGAGAGAATAAAATACAAGTGTTTATCTTTGACATTTGAGTCATATTAAAAAAGCCCCCTACATACATTCCTGGTCTATATTGGTATCAGGAATACATAACTATTGCCAATGCATTCCAGGAAACTGGATAACCACACAGTAGGGAAAGCTGACAGAAATACTAGCCAAAGGGGTTACACAGCTGCCAATTTACATTAACTGAAAGGCTACACACCAACTTCCTTTACATCTGAACTTCAGGAAATGTATTAATATCACAGTCTGAATAAAAAGCAGTTACTCTTACCAACAGCAAAACTTACAAAATATCAGTTTTGTTCCTTGTAGACATTATTATGGTCAGCAGCAGGAACAAGGGGTCATGATACTGAGTTTTTCATTCAGTGGCAACTATAATTAGGACCCTACCAAATTCACCTCCATTATGGTCAATTTCACAGCCAGAGGATTTGAAAAATTGGTAAAGTTCACGTTTTCAGGTGTTGTAACCGTGGGGGGGCCTGACCCAAAAGGGGATGGGGGGAGGGGTCGCAAACCTGTTGTAGAGGGGTCATGGGATTGCCACCCTCACTTCTGTGCTGCCTTCAAAGCCGGACAGAGTGGGGATGAGGGTGCGGAGATATCTGCAGCCGGGAGAGATACCCAAGAGCAGCCCTGCATGGAAAAAGCAAGTCCTGTCCTGCCCCAGCCAAACCTGGACTACAGCTAGGAGTCCCCTTTTCTGGGACGCTTCCAGCAGCACAGAGAAGATCGGACAACTCCACAAGTCTCCTCCAGCTGCAGGAACCTCTGGGGCTGCTGCCCAGTCCCAGAGTGTCCTGCAGCACGGGGAGGCACCCGGAGGTGGGTCTAGTCTCCCCCTGCCATTCCCCCCCTCCCAGCAGCTGTGCAGGGGATGAATAAGTCCTGTCATGCCCCAGCCGGAGCTAGGAGCCCTCTTTGCTTGGGCACTCCTAGGAACAAGGGGACATCGGATTCATGGAGAAGGGCTTATTTCACGGTCCGTGATGTGTTTTTCACAGCCATGAAATTGGTAGGGCCCTAACTACAACTCTTGGCCAGTGCTCGTGAAGAAATGTGAACACTGCTTGATGCACAGGCCGTGGGGAAGGATCCAAACAGGAAATCTGTCCAAATTGTGTAAACTCTACGAGTCATTCTGACTGATCTAATACATCAGCATCACATGCAAATAACTACCAGGGAAAGCATGATGCACAATACTGTGGTCAAATACTTGTCTCCACCACAGCTGGGCAAAAAATCCACAAAGGAAAAATTTATCAAGCCTCTTACAAGACAAATTCAAATTCAAGCTTCAGATACTATTTTAAACTAGCTTTAAACTAAATCATTTTAAACATTGTTTTAAGAGAACCAATTAAATTTGCTATTTTCAAGAACTGCTCTAGGCTACTTTCCAAAATTATTCACCTTGTAGCTCTAAATTTAGCCAAGTACTTTACATTCAGATAGCCAAAATAGTCCACAAATTTGATTTCTAGGGCTGCTCTCTTACCATCTAAGAAGGAAAGTCATTGCTCAAATAGATTAGGCTAGCATTGTCAAAAAGGGGGAAATCTAAAAGGATCTCCTAATTTGCATTACTGACTGTCTGATATCAAACTTCCCCCTTTCAACAGAAGTTGTAAGAGCACTTCAAACATGCATTAAGACTAAAACACACACAATAGATATTCCATTTTTCTAGATTGCTAAACAAAATTTTAAGTGACTTTCCCCTCAACGTCATACTGCAAGTCCTGCCCTCCACTCCCCTTGTTTTAACCAAATGACAACCCAGTCTCCTTTGAGGGTACAATCCCAGGTCTGGAACTTTAGCCATGGGTCCGTCTCTTTCATTAGGGCCCCAATGAGAGAAAGTAGGCTAGAGGAACCATCACACAGATTGTGTCTGGTTGAAGGGAGTTTAAGGCAGAAATTGATGCCTACACAAATGTAACCCCAAGGAGATTACCTAGATTCCTGGGGCTCTGTGTGCTGGTTGATCAGGGAGAGGCATGCTGTCCCTGGTAGGGAGGGGGAGCCAGTCTGCTCCGCAACCAACAGAGTGAGAAACTCTTCCGAGGGAGTTCAGGAGAGGGAGAAGCCATTTTGGAGCAATCTGGACTAGCCACCCAGGGAAAGGGCAGGAGTGGCTGTGTGGGGAGCTAGTGAGTCCCCCAGGCCTGCATGCAGGGTTCCCCCTGAGAACTGGCCTCTGGGGACCTGAAAGCAAGATCCCTTAGCTTGAGCTTTTCCAGCTCCAAGGTGACTTCCAGTTTGTAGAGCTTTGTTGGGGAAACTTCCCCCAGCCAAGCTGAGCTAACCTTCCAGCTCCCTAGGTGAGATCAGTCACCACATGGCCAGCTCTGCTCTGGCTGCTAGTTCAAGGCTGCTGCCTGCTGAGTGTATGTGAACACTAGGGTGGGAGACTAAAGTTTGGATTTTAGTATAGTTTTGTAATCTGCACCTTGAGCCCTTAGTGGTAAGGGGAAATCCTGGCACCAGAAGCAGCCTGACTCCTGCAAGAAGAGGACACCTGCCAGCAGTATCATCAGCCCTCTGTGGTGACTGAGGAGGCCAGAGCCATCTCTAAATCTGAGGATCATTCACAGTTGTTTGTGAGTGCACTATCTTTTAGTTAGCTAGTCAGGGAAATTGTTTGGGAGACCCCTTACTCCCTGAACTGCATCCTTTAACCAGGGGGTAAGGATTTGGGGATTTTGTTAACCTGCTGCCTATTAAATTTGTGGAGGGACTTTTCACCTTATCCCACTTGAGTGTCTCTTGGGCTGTACTGAACCTAGTCAGCCACATTGTTCACTGCTGCACAGAAGATATCATGGTTACAGGTAATCAAGGGCATCTATAAAGTACATGTACCAACAGGACACTAATTTGGTATTTGCAGTATCAGATCACATGATGGGAAATGCATAGGTATTACCAGCATGGGCATCAGTAACCCTGAGAATTGTGTTTTACCCGGTTATATTTATCTTCTGTTTAATATAATTACTGTGTTAAATATATTGTGTGTGTTTGTGTTATTTCTTGGAAGTCTCCAACTATCTGGCAAGTAAGCGGGGGTTACCCTGTGATTAGAATTCCCCCCCCCCCCCCCGCCTGCCCTGGTGACCCTGACAAGGGGAGCAAGCAGGGTGGAGGCACCGCTAAATAAATTCATATGGGAAGAAAAAAGCTGTACCCTGCTGAGTGGCAGGATCCAGAGGAACCGAAGCACGTCCATCAAAACCCATAAGGAGATTAGCTCTAAAGGAGGTAACTGGGTGGATGGGGGCACTACACAAAGTAGCTTTGGGTGTGAACATTTCTGTAGGACAATCTGTACTCTAACACACTGCTGCCTCAGACGCATTGTTTGGAGATTTTAAATGTTTCTCCTTAGATTCTTTTGGGGGCACAAACCTCATTTAAATAATTGGATTATCCATCTGTCCAGTAAATTTATTGTGAAATTAAGTTATACCTAGCTGACAATCCCAAAAAGCCATCGCCTAAGGTAGTCAGATAGTTTTTTAGGTACTACCAAATATAATTGAGATTATTCCCTGTAACGGGGAAATGAGCCTACTGGCACCATTTCAAATGCTAAATGTTTTAACCGCAGAGCTAAACGCTGATTAATATCACACGAACAGTAAGTCACTAAATGAGTTTTGGGAAGTGCAGCAAGCTGTCTTCTACTATAAACAGAGTTAGAAGTTCATAAAAGAATCTAAGTTTCAGTCAGAGCTGCAATGTATCCCTTGTCAGAGAGTCTACAGGAATGCCAAGGCAAAACCTTGGCAACAGCTTTTCATTATATAGCTCCTTGACTAGACGTTAGGCTTGAGCAAAAGGGGGAAGGCAGGGTATAGGTAAGAGGTGCACAGGAGCACCAGTCTCCCCCCACACACACACACAAAATTTAACCCCGATCTGATTGCAGTTACATAGATTGACATCAGTGGAATAATGTTCAGATTCATATTATAAGACCAGAACATAGTTCCATATCTATTGGAAGGAGCATTAACCTCCCTCCCCAAGGCCCCTCCAAGAGAGTCAAGCCCTGAGATATATCAAAGGCTAGGTCTACACTACCCGCCTGAATTGGCAGGTAGATTTATCACATCCTGTTGGGACGCGACAATTGATCCCCGAATCGACACTCTTACTCCACCAGCGGAGGTAGGAGTAAGCACCATCGACAGGAAGCCGCAGAGGTCGATTTTGCCGCCATCCCTACAGCGGGGTAAGTCAGCTGCGATAAGTCAAATTCAGCTACGCTATTTGCGTAGCTGAATTTGCGTATCTTAAATCGACCCCCCCCCGTAGTGAAGACCTGCCCAAAAAAGAGACTAAGGGTGAAGAAAAGTTGGAAGTACTCCTTTAAAAGTCTGAAAAACACAAATTAGGCACTTTGTGTCTTGAGCAAGCCAGAAACAATTTTAATACACCTGAGACAACACCATCTCACTGGAAAGCAGTTTTGCCAAGTTACAGCACATAGTCACAATTTTCTGTGTGAGTTCCTGAAAGGGGAGGAGCAGTGGAAAAATCTCAAAGCTAGACTGACGCAAGTACTGTAGCATAATGTAATTCCTGAGTGATAATGGAAACCACAGAAAAAGAAAGGAGGACAAAAATACATTTCTTGCTACTGGGAAATGAAGGAACATTCAGAGCTGGGAAACAGGTATTTTGAGGAGTAAGAAATTTTTGGCTCCCCTCACATACCAATAATTTAATTAATACATACCATTTTACTTAAAATATACAATTCATTCACACTTGCAAAATGCTACTTTCCTAACACAAGTGATTTTTTGACAACCAAATTAAGATTTCTCATCAGGGTGAGAGCAGGTGAAATTTGTATGTCCAGGCATGTAAATTTTCATGGGTTTACTAATAAATTCTAACAACTCTGTAGGGTGGACAATTAAAACTATATCATGCATTAGGTTCTCAGATTTGCAAACAAATTTGAATTATCTAAAGAACCTCCCTTTCTGGTAGAATGATCTTTGGCCTGAAACGAAAGTTCTTATGATGATTTGTAAGGAGAATTCTCCCCACTCCTTTTAGATTTTTCCTCAGCACTAAATAACTCTTCATCCCCTCCACATATAATTACATTTAACTCAATTACACCTGTGCCCCCACCACCACACCAAGAGTGTTACAAGGTAGTGGTGGATCCAATTACAAAGGGAGACCAGAAGGGCAGCTGGTGCTTTGTAGGCAGCAAGGTCAGGGTGTGCCCTGGATCTTGAGTATTAGAAGCAGCTGTTCCATGCAAGCAGGGAATAGGATTTCATCAGCCTGCAGATCTGCTAGCTGCCACTGGGAGTATTCAACCAAAGCAAACTGGCTAACAGAGCAGAAGGTCCCATTCATTTCAGCAATACTGTACTTTACAGGCAACACAAGTATACAACAGCAAACCTGGGTTTCAATTTGGGTAAATACAAGTCCCAGCCTGACAGAAAGATTCACAATGTTTGGGGTTTAACATCCCCCTCCCATGCATCTAGGTGCCTCTGACACAGCTTTCCAGTGTTTGGGGTTTCATCGCCACTGTACCCACTATCTGTCCAAGATGGGGGTTGCAATCCCCCATAATAACTGCATAGTTTAGACTTCTCAGTATGTTTAGACATTGCTCCCTGATGCATTCAGCATCTATCCTGGACAGGGCATCAGTATTTGTGGTTAGATCCCCAATATATCCACCATCTGCCTGGGATGGGGATGCCCAGTTTGGTTTTGCCCCTGGCTGGGTGGCTCCATGATCTCGCCACCCAGAGTCAGTTTTTCCTCATTGCTTTTTCAATGGAAAATTGTGTCATTTCTCAGACACCAAAGAGATCACTCCTCCATCTCACCCCCATCTGCCCCTCAGCACCCTGGCTGCACACTAGCACCTCTCTGGGCTTTACATTGCCAGTTACCCATCTAATTCAGAGTCCCCGAGCCTACATTACATGATCCCCAAGCAGGCCCCTCTCTTCACTTCAGAGGAACCCCCCCTCTCGCCCACCCGCAAAGAGACATCTCCCCAACTCCCCCTCCCCACCAGGGGACCCCCTCTTACCCCCCCCCGCAAAGCGAGTATCCCCACGTTCCCCTCCCCAAGGGACTCCCCTTATTGCCCCCCACAGACACACGTCTCCCAACTCCGCCCCAGGGGAGCCCCCTTTCGTCCCCCCGCAGAGACACCAACTCCCCCCCCCAAGGAGCCCCCTTCTCGCTCCCCCGGGGACGTTTCCACAGCTCCGCGCTTCCCCCCCCCCCGCCCGGACGTTTCCCAGCCCTTCCCTCCCTCCCTTCGGACGTCTATCCCCCTTTCCCAGCCTCCCCTGCTACCTGGGCGCGGTGAGGTGCAGCCGACGGGAGCTCAGGGCACAGCAGCAGGCTCGGGGAGCTCGTCCCGCCCGGGCCAGGGCTCGGAGCAGCAGGCTCGGGGACAGCGCGATGACCACCATGGCTCAGCTGAGGAGAGACAGGCACACAAGTCACACGCAGCCGTTCGTTCGCGCGGGGAACCAACGGACCTGACAACCCCCCCTTATATAGCTTCGCCAGACCCACCCCTATTGGCTGCAAGAGCGCCTATCATATTGCGTGGAACATACCGGCCCCACGCTGATTGGTGGTCCACCGGGTGACGCAGAGCTGAGGGGAAACAAGGACAGGGAGCGGGGAAATAACGTAACTGGACCAGGATTGGTTGCGATAGTGATAACGTAAAGGAAACTGGATAAAGGGATCTGATTGGTGGACACAAGGAAGGGCAGGATTTAACACTGGTATTGGTGTGTGATTGGGTCAAATAAAGGGACGCACTTGGGCCTGGCTATGTACGATTAGTGAAAAGCTGAGCGAAGGGCGGGACAAAACACTGGTGCTGGTTTTTCATTGGTGAAAAAGGGAGCAAAGGGCGTGGCTACTGGGCCATAGAGGGTGTGTCTTGCTAGTTGGCTGGCTGTAACTGAGTCTGAGTATTGCATAAGCCAGAAGCGGCCGCTATGAGGCGGAAGGACGGTGCCTAGATGCCTGTCTCTGAGCTCAGATGGAGGTGAATCAGGCGCTGCAGGCTGGCTCCTGCAGAGAGAGGATAGCCAGCTAGTGGCTGTGCAGGCTATGCCATTACTACAGCAGAGGGAGCACCTGGCCACAGCTAATACCCTCTGCTCAGCATAGGAAAAGGAAACGTTGAGAAAGGGCAACAGGACAAACCCCAGCCCTTCTTGTGAAACATCCCATATAGGTTTCAGAGTAGGAGCTGTGTTAGTCTGTATCCGCAAAAAGAACAGGAGTACTTGTGGCACCTTAGAGACTAACAAATTTATTAGAGCATAAGCTTTCGTGGACTACAGCCCACTTCTTCGGATGCATATAGGGTGGAATAAATATTGATATATATATATACACACATACAGAGAGCATAAACAGGTGGGAGTTGTCTTACCAACTCTGAGAGGCCAATTAAGTAAGAGAAAAAAAACTTTTAAAGTGATAATCAAGATAGCCCAGTACAGACAGTTTGATAAGAAGTGTGAGAATACTTACAAGAGGAGATAGATTCAATGTGCTATATGCCAGCATGTGCCAGCAATGCCCCTCTGCCATGTACATTGGCCAAACCGGACAGTCTCTACGCAAAAGAATTAATGGACACAAATCTGACGTCAGGAATCATAATACTCAAAAACCAGTGGGAGAACACTTTAACCTGTCTGGTCATTCAATGACAGACCTGCGGGTGGCTATATTACAACAGAAAAACTTCAAAAACAGACTCCAACGAGAGACTGCTGAGCTGGAATTGATATGCAAACTAGATACAATTAACTCAGGATTGAATAAGGACTGGGAATGGCTGAGCCATTACAAACACTGAATCTATCTCCCCTTGTAAGTATTCTCACACTTCTTATTAGTGTCTCTGTACCACCCTTACTCAATTTCAACTTCAACTATTTTAATCCTTTAACTCACTTGA